CCCGCAACGCCCTTCCCAAAATTAAATGAAAATAAATTACTTCGGCAGGTGGTGTTCCTTCACGTGTCCAGCAGCAGAAGAGGACTGTGAGGGAGTGTGTGTGTATATTTAATACCTGCGTGAATGAAAAAGCAAAAGAGGTTGTTTCAGTCCACGCATGCCTCTCACAATTCATGCGGTGTTTGGCCTGCGCTTCTACCGGCAGTTGCGTCAAATCCGTGCGGCGCACAGCAATGCGGCCGGCACCGCGTGTGTGTGTGTGCGGCAGCAGCAAACAGGAGGGGGAAAAGGGTGCGCCGCCCATGGGAACGTGCATGGGGTGGCGAAGCAAAAAAAAGGTGAAAAGAAGAGTAAACATCCCTCAGAGCACAGGAGAGAGAGAAGGATTTACCCACAGGGACGACAAGCAAAAGGAAAGAAAAAAAAAGGACACTTAAATGAAGGGACCCGCATGGGTTTGCGGCGCACGACTCTCACCATGCGGAATCACAATTCCACACTCCTTCGCTCAGAAGCCTGCCACGACGCCACAAAGCGCCATAAGAGTCAGCAGCGTTGGCCAAGACACGCACCCACGCACAGCGCCGTCGCTGCCTGTGCTCATCGGGTACAGCCCTGTGGTGTTCTTGAAGGTGTTAGAGCTGTTGCTTACGTGCGGTGCAGCGTCGCGTGTTGGCGGGGTGCCTGGCCGCCCAGGCGTCTGAGCCGTGGGTGCCTCGCGGCCGCCGTCCGCGTCCGCCGCAGTTTGGGGGTCTGCGCCATTTTCATTGGCGGCAGCGTTTGGCGTCTCGTCGGTGGGCGCGGCGGAAGCAGACGGCACGCCGCCAACGGCCTCCGGCACGTGCGACGGAGTGCTCTGCAGCGCCTGGTCGTCACCCACCGGGCCCACCGTAACTGCACCGTCTGCTGGGGTCGAAGGCTCTCGTTGCCGCACGGAAGTCCCCGCACCGACGGCCTGCTCAGCTGCGCCCCGGCGAGGAGCACTGGCTCCATCCGCTGCTGTCAACGGTGGGGACGCCAATGCACTGCCACTGCCTTCTGTCGCTTCCCCCACCTTCTTTTCATTTTCATTCTCCGACTCTTCTGCTTCCTCTGCGTCGGAGTTGTGAGTGATGCTAGAAGGTGTTGACGCCTCGCCTGCTTCTCTGTCGGCCTCCTGCGATAACTGAGGCGGCACTTCCTCTTCCTCTCCCTTTTCTTCCCCTTCTTCTTCCTGTTGGTGTTGTTCCTTTGGGGGGCTGAGGAGGAAGTCCCCAGCGGGCTCTGAAGCGACCTTCACGTCGCTGCTCTGCGGCGCAGTTCCCGGGCCCGGCACTCCTGCGTCTTCCTCCCGCGGCGCCGGTTCCCCAGCAGATTCCGTTTTCTCTTTTTGCGACTGTTCGCCCTCAACTGTCGGGGCCCCGGCCGCATGCGGTAGTCCATTTGCCGGCTGCTGAGGAGAGGCATTTGCACCGCCACTCCCCAACTTCGCCGGCGAACGTTCCTCACGCGCCGGCGCCTCATCAGCAACACCGTCGCTTTTTTCCTGGAGGCCATCCGTGCGCTCGCCGTCCTCAGTTTGTCGCTCACCGTGGGCGTCCTCAGGCTTCACTTCGGGAACAGCCTCCCCACCCACAGAGGTGAACACCGAAGGAGCCGCCTGCAGCTCGCCGCTTTCTTCCCGGCAGCTGGTCCTCCAAGAGCCACTTTGCTCCCTGCGAGCTGCGTAATCTCTTTTTCACCCAGTGCGCGGTTGTACAGCAGGACGCTGGAGACCGTCACGTGGTGGCTGCTCTTCGTGTCCTCCGCCCCGTCCCCGCCAACGTAGAAGTGCGAGATCCTGTGCGGCGTAAAGAGTTTTCCCACCCAAGAAGCGATGCCGCCATCATCTTCTTCATCTTCATCTTCGCCATCGTAGATCTCGTCCCCGTCGACGTACACAGACAACTCGTCGTCAGTATCCATTTGCAAGATCACTTGGTAGGCTGTGTCTGCCTCCCACGTCACATCACCACCATCTGTCAAACTCCGGCTCTTACCGCCGGCCGTCACTTCCCACTTCTTGTCGCTCGTGTACGACACGCCCAGGAGCACGGTGCCCTCTGTGTCATTCATCCTCACGCCCAGCAAAGGCGTGTCCTCGTCCGGCACCGCGTGGATCGTCACCGTCGCCACAAGCGTAAATCCGTTGTTCGCAAAGTAGTACGGCTGGTTCTGCCCCCTGCTTCCCACGGGCCACTCCGCCCCCGCTCTGGCGCCGCTGAACGTCACGCCATTCGAAAACTTTGTTGTTGCTCCATGAACAGTCGCGTTCACGCCGCGGTACTCGTCCACCCACGCGGTCCCGACCAGTGTGTTGGACAAAAGGCCCACCAGCCCCTCCGTGGGAACAGGACTGTTGCACACGCCATTTATCCGCGTGCCAACAGCGGCAGAGGAAGAGCAGCTTTGCAAGGCGGCGTCCATTTCCTTCCAGGTCTGCACCACGGACTTGATCTGCTCCAGCTGCTTTGCCAAGCTCAGGGATACGAGGCCGTAAGAGTCTCCATCCTTCTTCTTCTCGTACAGTAGAACCAACTCCTCCGGTGCACCGCTTCTGTACAGCAGGGAACTGGCAGCGGCGTCATCGACTTCACGAGACACCGGCCCGATATCGTGCACGCGGGAATTGTCGGTCAGCCAAAGATGCAGACGACCTTTTACTTTGCCTTCCTCTTCCGAATACACCGGCGTGGTGAGGAGCATCACCTTTTTTCCCTCTATTTCCGCGGTGACGAAGCCGCTCTGCACGCCGTCCCCTCCTTGACGGCTCAGCGAGGTGCCCCACACGCGGGAAATCGGCTCGCCTGTCGTGTACCAAGCTACACCACGGG